AAGAAGATGAGAAGTATGGAGATTGCCAGACACCGTGCTTGTATTTAGATGGATGGGGAGCTTGGACTGCGGTGATGTGCTATTCTCAAAGAAGCTGCAAGAGAACAAGCTTTATCATGCATAGATTTTCCTTCTTGAAAGTCTTTTGTAGGAGAAATTTTCCTAGACCTCACTTCTAATGGATGCCATGTGTGTATAAAAATGATTCCCACGTTTAAAATCCTGTTTAAAGATCCATTCAATGTAAACGTTTTACCAGCTTTTGTTTCTCAAGGAAAGTATGGATTTCAGCAGATATTGCTACCAAAGAAATGCTTGCCTTGTAGCCAGTTACTATTTGCATGACCTTCAACAAATATTTTCAAGGCCTTGCTGCCTTTAATTGATCAACACCTAGCTCTGTGAATGTCCGCTATATGCTTAGCTTAGAAGTATGTAACATGAGTGTCAAAAGGAAAGAGTGATAACTTTTAAACAAGTACCTGATAAAACACTGGACTAACATTTCCCACTGAAAATATGGCACCAATCAAACATCATTCATCCAAACATCAGCCACTGGCAAACCTGGTCATCTGTCCTGCATACCTGAATTTGGGAAATATTTAAAATAAAATAAAATAAAAGTTCTCAAGAAAAGCATGGTTCTATAGAACCATGAAAGAGGCAACAGAGGAAGTAACAAGGGGCAAAGGGGTGGTGATAAAGATCATTAAAAAATCCCTGTAACTTCCAGAGGCCCTTGACTTCACGCCATGGCACAGGATAGCAGAATTATCTGTTACAACTCTACACCATACCCTTAGTTGGCACAGACTTCATGCCTCTTTCCTTCCTCACTGCTCAAGCTTTGAGGGAGATTCTTGTTCCAATGTGAATGAAAGGAGGTGACTCATGGCCTGCCAGGCTTATCAAGAATGGTCCTGATTTATCACCGCATTTTCTCTTGCAGTTGTTAACAGTGGCTTCTCTCTCCTCAAAGTGTTCTTGTTGAGGTGGTAACTCACGTGACCACCCTAATACAGAGTGGGCCAATGTGACTGCCTATACAGAGACTGCCAATACAGAGTTGGACTGTGACTGCCATGCTGAGAATGCTTTTTGATGAGAAAAATGTTAATTTTCATTCAGATTTATGAAATCTTCAGTATTCTTGCATTGTGATGCTAAATCTTCTGTTTCCGTTGAAATTATTGATTCCAAATAATGTTGTATGCTTAACAAGGAAATACAATTCTGGTTACTACTCTAGATTAATTTATGTTTGGGGTCCTCTAAACCTTTCACATTAAGTGAAAACTAGCACCACATCACTATAAAATATTTGCGTATGAGACTTGTTAAAAAAAATAAGTGTCAGAATTGGAAATTAAAGTCACAAAGCTCTGAAAATGAAACCCGTAAAAATTTAAATTGGCAGTATACTGCTTAGTACATTAAACAAACATCTCACAGTAAGATGCACATCTGTAACTCCAGACCTTGCATTCAAGACAAGTCTTAAAAAAAGGTGTAATGGTAATCTTCATCTAGCACACGAAAATTGGAATGCTGATCTTGTCCATCTGAATATTCTTATTACTTACACTGTTAAAATATCAACTCTTTATTGTTTCTTTCTTTCTGTATTTGTTTTTATTTTGTGTGAATGAGTGTTTTGCCTGCATGTATGTAAGTGCACTCCTGAGTGCAATGCCCACGGAGGACAGAAGAGGGTGTCAGAGCTCACTGGAACTCAAATTATGGACTGTTGTTTGTCTCCATGTGGGTGCTAGGAACCAAACCTGGGTCCTCTGCAAGAGCAGCCAGTGCTCTTAACCACTGAGCCATCTCTCCAATTTTTTAAAAAAGATATTTTTATTGAATTTTTGTGATTTTTCATATAATATAATTTGATGGTGTTTAGATCCTCTTCCCTATCCTTGCCTTCCCGTATTGCCCAATTTAATGTAATATATATATATATTACACATAGATCTCCCTATAGAGTCTAATTTGTGTCCCCAAATGTTCTTCATTGCAGGTCCATCCACTGGAACCTGATTAACCTACCAAGAGTCTCATGTTTTAAAGAGATTGTCTCTGCCCCTCCCAGCTACAATTTTCTTAGGTGGAGCTGAGGCGGCTTACCCACATTCTCCTGTTGATGTTGGGATGTTTTTCTGGTTTGAGCTTAACTCATTACCCTTAAGCCAACCTCATTATCAACAGTGTCATCACTTTGAGCTATCTTGAGTATCATGTTTCTTTTTACATGAATCAAAACTCATACTAAACAATGAGTTGTGGGTTGCAAAAGAGGATTATTTTTGTACCTGTCTTTTATGTCTTTGTTCACCAGTTCAACAAAAATACATGCCAGTGCTACTGAAGGCATTTCTGACCACCTCTTAAAATAGCAGTTGATAGGATACAAAAACATTTAAAACATCATTGATGGAAATCAACTATATTTCCCTCCTGACACTGATCTCCACGTCTCAGAAAACAGAAACCCATTTTTTCTACTTACCTAAAGTCCGTTTTCTGGAACTATGTGCTCTGTGTAGATAGCAGAGTTGTTAAGCTAGCCATAATGATCCTGACCTCCTAGAATCTACAACCTTATATAATTCCCCTTCACTGAGTATGAGATGGACCACAGGACTCATTTCTAATCAGCTGAGCACAGCAAAGGTGATAAGGAACTTTGTGAAAAGGCAACAAAATATTATGACTTCCATTTGTTAGTTAGATCTACTGGTTTACTGATAAAAAGCCAACTTCTGAGAAGCCTCCAGCCAATATCAGCGAGAAAGTCAAGCTCTTAGTCCAACCAATCAAATGCAAGAATGTGAATTCTGTCAATAGGTACATAAATGAAGTTGAAAGGGTGCCCTTTCCCAGCTGAGCCTTCATGTGCAGTCTCAGTTTTGATTGACATTTGACCACAGACTTGGTAGGAGATCTAAAGCAAAGCTGTGCCTAGACTCCTAACCCATGGAGGCTATCAGAACACATGTGGAGGTATAGGCTACTGGGTCTAGAGTAATTGTAACACCCTTAGGTAACTATTGGGTCCTGTGTGATGCCGGAAAAAAATCCACTTAACTTTTCTTGGCCCATTTTTCCTTCTGCCTGACACAAAATGGGATTCAGTAAACATTTGTGATCAAAATAAATGTGAAAAGACAAAGTTTGGAGAGATGATGTCACAGATTCCTTCTAACAGAAAGACTACAGGTTTTGCTTAGAAAGTGTCAACTCTTGGGCTGAGGAGATGGCTCAGTGCTGGATGGGCAGGTGTCAGGTCCAGAGTTTAGAACCCCATTTAGAACACACATAAATGTTGGCGTGGTCCAGCTGTAATTTCAGACTTAGAGGGCAGAGGCAAGTAATCCCAGAGCAAACTGGCTAGCCAGACTAGCCATACCTGCCAGCTCTAGGCTTGACTGAGAGCCCACGTCAGTGAATAAACTGAAAGGACGATGGAGGCTAATTCCCAAAATCAGCCTTGGGTCTCCACATGCACGTGTCCACATTCATGTGTATCCACACATGGATACCCACACATATGCAAAACATACATACACACATACGTATCCCATATAAATACATATAGGAAAGTGGAAAAAGGGGGAAAAGGTGAAAGCTTTCAGTACTAGATAATACAGGTGCTGGAGAGACGGCTCAGCAGTTAAGAGCACTAGCTGCTCTTGCAGAGGACCGGGGTTCCATTCCCAGGACCCACATGGTAGCTTATAACTGTCTGTAACTCCAGTTCCAGGGGTATCCAACACCTCTTCAGACCTCCTCGGGCATTGTACAGCATGGGTGCACTTACATACACGCAGGCAATACACTCATACACATAAAACAAAAAAAATAATTAAAAATAATGGATAATACAGGTTTAGTACTTCTCTTGCCATTTTTTTTCCTTTTGGGGGGTTGCATCCTTAAATTGCCTTAAATTCTGGTTTATTAAAACAACAACAACAAAAAAAAACAAAAACAAACAAACAAAAAAAAACCAGCAAACCTTGCCTCAAAGCAGTGGCAGCTTGTTTTGAAACATTTCATTGACCTTTCTTGTTTTAAACAGTCTGACCTATGGGTGTCTGTGCAGGCTAAGGATCACTGGTACCTACAGCTGCCTTTGATGTAGATGGTCATATGCCCTGCAACCTTCCAGTAGAGAAATGCACATTGCATGATCACGTCTCACCTGACTCCAAACAACACCTGCCTTTCATCTAAACCGCAAGGCACACATAGTCTGGGCAGCTGGTTGGCTATATTTCCTTTCGCTTCCTTCTACATTCACTGATGGAACATTTCATAAACATTTTATAAACATTTCATAAATCTGCAGGTCATTTCCAGGGATCCCTGGTGCTAACTGCTTTGCTGAGGATCAGACTTTGCTTCATTGTTCACAAAAAACAGAATTTTTACAGACAGTAAATAATGTCTTTAGTGCTAAAATCATTGGCATTGTGAACTCTAAAAATGTTCTGAAGTTGACATTCTAAAATCTTTACCCACACTTAACAGGGGTTGGAGACATGGCTCAGTAGTTAAGAGCACAGGCTGCTCTTACAGAGGACCTGTGTTTAGTTTCTAGCATCCATGTGGAGCAGCTCACAACCACCTGTAATCCCAATTCCAGGAGATCAATAACTTCATTTGTCTTCCACTAGCACCCACACACATGTGTGAATACACACACAAATTAATTAATTAATATCTTAAAACCACTTAGAACAGTGTTTTGCATTGCTATTTTATTTTACAGGGAATCATTCAAACCGTGCAGAAGCATGCTTCCACCCAGTGACCCTCTCTTTTGCACCCATGACAAGCTCCCATCCTCAGTTCTGAACAATCAGAGGAAGAAAACATTGTTTCAGCAGAACAGATTAAACAGTCCAACTTGAACAGGTTTTTTTTCTTTTACTTATGTATTTTGGCTTTCTATGACGGTTTATTGGCCTATTAGCTTGTTCTTATAGTAAAACTACCAAAGGGACTAATTTGGTTCAAATAAGCAAGCATTAATACTGCATAGAAATGTTTCCATTATTGGATAAAATGTACAAAAAATATGAAATGTGTATGCACGAGGAAAAAGACGTAAATCATAAAGCCGTATTTTACAGTATCATTTCTGTCTCTTGTATTGTTTATCATTTCAGATAATTTAAAATCTTACCAAGACCCAGAAAGACAAACATCACATGTTCTCACTCCCATGTGGATCTTAGCATTTAATCTGTAGGTTTGTATATTTAACTTGGAGTATCTATAGAATACAGGAAACTAGAAAGGGGTCATTGGTTGGGAGGGGGAAGGAAGATCTTGAGGGGATAGGAGAATACAGGTGCTAGGAAGAGGAAAAGGAGAATAATAGGGAGGGAGGCTTAAGTGGCAGAGGAATGGGAGAGGAGAGGAGAGCAAAGGAAAGGGTGGGGGAAAGGAATCACTAACTCTAAGGATGTTTGAAAAGGCCATATGAAAGCCTACCATTATAGAAGCTTTGTAAATATACGCATATATAATATATATTATAATAGTCATATAAAAGACTTTCATTGGAGTTAGCTTACATCAGAATAATGCTTCTCCCAGAAGTCATAGGCTGTCAAATAAAAAGCCCAGTGCCAGGTATAGGATACCCCCTCTCAGGGTTTTGGTCAGGAGTACCCCAGAGATCCCAAAACAATACAGGCAATTGCTATTGCTCTCTCTTGCCCACCAGAACTTAGTGGTAAGGCCCTATTACTAAAGAAACCATACATTCTGTTCACAGGGCATGGAGAAATCAGGTTGGAATTGACCATGAAACTTCCTCCCTTCTGGCTGCCTTTCATACTTCTGTAAGGTGCTGTGCAGGCTGCAGGGGAGGAAGGAGTTATCAACAGTCTTACCTAACTGTGAGTCCTATTGTATTAGTCAGGGTTATCTAGAAGAACAGAACTAATAGATGGATGGATGGATAGATATATAAATAATGATGAATGATAGATGATAGATGAATAGATAGATAGATAGATGATAGATGATTGATAGATGATAGATATAGATAGATGATAGAGATAGATAGATGATAGATAGATAGATAGATGATAAAAGATAGAGAGATGATTGATAGATGATAGACAGATAGATGATTGATAGATGATAGATAGATGATAGATGATAGATATAGATAGAGGATAGAGATATAGATAGATAGATAGATAGATAGATAGATAGATTGATTGATAGTTGATAGATGATAGATAGAAGATAGATGATTGATAGATGATAGATAGATGATAGATATAGATAGATGAGAGAGAGACATGATAGATGACAGATGATAGATTAAAAGGAAATTTATTAGACTGGCTTATAAGATAGGGTCTTGGTAGTCCAACAATGGCTGTACCACACTGGAGAATCCTGGTTGCTCAGTCCACAAAGCTGGATGTCTCAGCAGTCCCAATCTAGTGTTGAAGGCCTGGAAGATTCCTGGAGAGCTGCTAGTCTTCCGTCTATATTGGAACTTAAAGAAGTTGGTTCAAATGTCAGTGAAGGAATGTCACAACAACAGGATAGATAAGTTCACCGGTGAGACAGAAGTCAAGCAGGCAAAACACAAAAGATCCCTTCTGCCCTGTCCTTTTATATGGGCTGCCACCAGAAGGTGCTGCCCACATTTAAGGTGAACCTTAGGCTTCACATAATCTGATCAGGAAAAATCCCTTACAGGAACACCCAGAAGCTTGTGTTTTAGTTGATTCTAGATCAAATCAAGTTGACAACCAAGATTAATCATGAGTCTACACCTTGTCAGCTTAACACCCAATCACATTTCCTTACCTCATACTTAATTTCTAAATAAAACAATAATAAGGCCATAATTCTGCCTAACAAGATATAACTATCCCCATACAACCACAAATGCTTTATACAATTTGTAATAGGTAGTAAAGTCCCTTGAAGAATACTTAATCTTTTAGGATCTCATGACTTATATATGTGCAACACATAGCCACTGCTATCATCTCCCTGTGTACTACAATAATGGCTGTAATGACAAGATACACCCATGGGTACAGTAGTGGCACAAATATTATGGGGGTAACCAACCATGATTTTTTTTTATTGGATTTAAGGCTCACTCCATGGGAGGAAACACATACCTAGTATTGTAAATCTGGCCAAGGACCCATGGTTGGGAAGCTTATAGGCCCCAAGGGTGAGCCAACTATATTATTTTTCTAAATGGGCGTGTATCAAATTATGTTTTAAGTTCATATCTCTGGACTTCATCAGAGAAGTTACTTTGTGTAGTGGATGGTTATTAATGCAGAAACTCACAACTGGTCAAAGTGCAAAG